AAAACGGCGACTGAGGGGCCAATCTTGGCAGTCGCCTTCTCGCTCCAGGAGCGGTAGTAATTAACGAAAGTCTCCAAGTTCTGCGACAGCATGGGGCCATGCCCCGTGGCCACGGCCTGGAGAAAGGTCACAACGACTAAGGCCCGGACAGCGTAAGACTTCTGACCCTAACAACGGCTCCTTGAGATCAAAGTCGTTGATCTTCTTCAGGGCCGTCAGAACCGATCTCGCGTTGGGCTTCATGAGGCAGTCGTAGTACGTGGCATAATGAGGAAGCAGCTCCTTCACTCCCTCGACATCCTCCAAGAACTCAGAGCAGTAGTGCATTCCGAAGGCATCACAAGTAAAGAGTATTCCTGTCTTGTGGTCGAAAGTGAACATCGTATCAGGCCAATGGAGGTTCGGCGCAATCACGAATTCCAACGTGTGGCCGCCACCCAGGTCCAGCTGGTCACCTGCAAGACAGGGACGGGAAATTCCAAGTTTGCTCTACCCATGTCTACCCCCTTTTTGTCCAGTGAACGGAGCATACCATCATGGAGATATCTCCCGCTTTTCTAGATCGCCCCTGGGTCAGGTCGAGTTGGGGGGCAGTTCAGGTTTCACGCACAGGGTGACATGGCCATGAATCCTGCAACAATGCAACGGAAGACAGGAGCACCTGTCTGGACAACTTTGCTTTTGAATGGCTGGAAGACCAAGTTCTTCAGATAGAGGATGCAGATTTTGGAGCCGATCACCTCGAGCTTTTCGTTGCCAGCTGCCGCAGCCATTTCGAGGATCTTTCCGATCAGGCCAGAATGGTCGGGCTCTGTGTGGGACACGACCAAGTAGTCCAACACAGCCAAATCGACCTCTTTGTTAAGCGCCGCAGTATAGAGATCTTCGAACTTCTCGTGCGAAGTGTCTACCACAGCTGTCTTCTCAGCGCCTTTGATTATGTAGGAGTTGTAGGTTGTTCCACGCTCCAATCGGAACTCGATGTCGAAACGGTCCCGATCCCAGTCCAAAGACCGAATGGTGCTCGTGTCGTCCGCTATGGCCTCAATGGACATAGTCTGCAAGCGATACTCCTTTCCAGGCGTGAGGCCCGTCCAACTCTGGATCTCAGACATTTCTGCATCTCGCTCTTCTCCCCCTCGCGCTGCCAGAGCGGTTCTCTGCGCCCTGCTCTGGGGCGCTGGGCTCGGCGTCGTGGCACCCGCAAAAGTGGCCTTTTGTGGCAGGCGCGAAGGTGCCGGCAAGATCGCCGCCATTGCCGGAGCACGGGCCTGGGCCTGGGTGGTCTGGGTCGCATCCTCCAAATTCCAACCGACGAGGTTGGAGGACTCGATGACAGATCTGATGTCCGTCTTCACCTTCTCGTCCAAGACCTTTCCAGAGGTGACCTCGGCATAGACCAACGAATAGTTCCCGGCATCCAGCACCGAGACGGCATGGCACTCAAGATATGCATGGCAACCTTCCAGCACCAAGCATCCATTCGTTGACTTGGCCTTCTTGTGTGGTCCAGCCTTTGCCAGCTCTGCATAGCTCTGACCCTCAGGTGCCAGGCTTAGCAGAAAATCTTGGAGACCCAGGCTCTCCTTCGGGCAGCTGCCTGCTCTTTGCTCCTCCATCATGGCTCGCAACGGCTCTCCTTCCTGCACGGCAATCCGCAACTCGTCGAAGGTGACCAACCCGTCGTCGTACGGATCAAGGATTTCCATCGCCTGAGGACTTGTCTACGAAAGGCTGCCAGCACAGCAAACCCGTGGCATATCTATCGAAGGAGCGCAACAGAGGATAAGCAGGCAAAGCACAAGCTCAGAGACAGGACTAGGCAAAGGCAATCTTTGCTGCAAGCCGCCTTGTCGAGGCAATCGGCGTCGCTTGTTCCAAGAAGCTGCTTCAAAATGTCTGTCACTTCTTCGCCCTCTACATAACGAGATCTGATCTTCTCATGGTTCTTCAAAATGCTGTCGAGGAGAAACTCTGGCTCTTCAACTTCCGCCGTCTCCGTCTCGAGCTGATCCTCTGGCTTTGGAATTGCGAGAGTGATACCGAGCGGCTCGAAAGATGCCTGGTTGACCCATGATACCGGGGTGAAGATGTCACCCTCTGGGCCAAGAGATGTCATCACGGCCTGCGACGTCCGCATTTTACCGAACGCTTCCAGAGCCCCACTGCCAGGCTCCTTGGTCAGGTTCCGTGCCATGCGCTTGCGCTTCTGCAGCACATCCCGGCAGAGCTTCTGAAATAAGCGGAGGCCTGAGATGGTGCAAAGCTCCAGGGTTTCTGGCGTAGGCTTGAATTTGGCCCGGATGGGATCGAAGGCCAATGGGAAGCCAGAATCCTTCAGGCGGAATTGCAGCTCATCAACTGCCTCGCCACTCCACCCAAAAGACCCAAACACTCCGCAAGGGACACGTCGATCTGCAGGCAGGCTCAGGACAACTCCGAGAGCCTCTTTGACTTGGGATGGCATCTCACCACCCAAAGTTGGACTGCCAATGCAGAAGCCGTCAGCTGACTGCAGCGCGTTTGAAACGTCGTCGGCGGTGCAATGCTCGAGGTTCAAGTCCACTACCTTGACGCCGGATGTCGTAAGACCCTTCGAGATGGCTTGAGCCAAGGTCTTGGTATGACCGTAAGCGCTGGCGTACATCACGAGGACTTCGAAGTCTCGGCGGGTCTCTTTCCTCAGCTTTTGCTCAGTCCAGGCTTCGTACTTTGCCATCAGCTTCCAGCACTGATCTCGCACCACTGGGCCATGCAGAGGAGCCAGCTGTGTCACATCCGGCCCACGCAGGGCCTCGCAAAGCATGAAGATCTTCCGCACGGACGAGGCCGCCCTCTTCGTGAAGAAGTAACAGTCGAACAAATGATACCAGTCCTGACAACATGCAGTCTGGCGATGTCTCTGAGCAAAATTGCAGGCTACAGTCTCTTGCGTCTGGATCTGTCAAACACTTTCTGGCGGTCCTCCACGTTTGCCTCCCAGCCTTCAATCCCTGGTGTGTCGAAAGGGCTATCTTTCTCGCCAATCTCCCTGTGGGCACTGAAGAACTTACCTGTGAAGAGGCTTCCGGTGAGCGGGTCGAAGGCCGACGTGGCTTCCGGCAGCTTCTGAGTTGGGGTCAGCACGAAGCGCATCACCCGCCCCGTGTCGAGCTCGAGCCTAGGCCCAGGCTGGGAGAAAGCGCGCCTTAAAAGCGATCCCCCCCGTGACGAAGCAAGGTGCACTCCTGGCCTGGAGCTGTTCTTGATAGGAAGGAAGCTCACCTTCTCCATCACCGCCTCCGACAACTTCTTCTTCAGGGCCAGAATGACAGGCATCGAAGCATAGATCAAGAGCGGGTCCCCAGATCGTTGCTCAACAAGATCCTCAACACAAAGCATGATAGACCGGATGCGGGTTTGAGATCTTTCACTTCCAAAAGGCAAGTTTGGTTCTGCTGGCTATGCAGGGTGCCGACAACCCGGACGCACTCCTGTGGGCCCGCCGGAAAATCAGAGGAGTTTTTTAAGCGACACTGACTTACCCCTCCACAACATCAGCGGGATGTGCCGGATGTGCCCACCACCTGCGTGGTCAGGTGGAAAAGGAAACATTCTGCAACGGGTAAGTTGCAGAGTTGGCGATGACATTTGTTTCAAGATTTCTTCAAGCGCGGGTCTCTCTGGAAAGTGCTTCGCCCGAATCCCGAAGCACTTGATTTCATGCGCAGCCGAAGACATCATCAAGGCTTAATTATCTATTGCTAGTGCCTCTTGGCTTCATGACTCAAAAACGACTCTTCGCGCAGTACTTCTTTCTAGCAACAGTTGGACAGAATGCAGCCCAGCGCAATGCAAACCTTCGACATGCAGACGAACAAATTTCTTCTTTGTCAGACTGCTGTGGCACCAATGCAATACAATACAATCAGAATCGACTAGCAAAACCTTTCCCCAGATGCCGCTCCTCAATGAAGGGGACCTGCAGAATGCAGAAGCAGTCAGTGAAAGCAAGTGGAGCTTTTCTTTTGCCCCATGGCCTGCCCTCCGTCGAAGAACTGCAGCACCAGCATTCCGACCTTGTCCACTAGGCCAGGCTCTTTCTGCATCACTTCCATCATCAAATTCTGGCTGTCTCGGCTAAAGGCGCCAATCAAAAGCCAGGGTTTGTCTGATGATTCTGGCTTGAGCAGGTACAAGTTCTCAGTGCTCCCGGCACCCAGGTCATACTCCTCTCCATAGCGAGATCCCTTGGCGTGGACGCTGCGGAACTGCGTGATGCCCCCCGGAAGCTCAGAGACGACGAGCTTCACCTCGGGATGCTCATGAGGAGTCGTGCGAACCCCGCCCTGGCACAAGAACATCGTTTCAATCCGAAGGCTTACGGCTTACGCTCTCCGCTTTCGTAGCTGTCGTAGCTGCACTCTTTCGCCAGCTTCACCTCGCCGGCTTCGACGAGACCATCTGCCCAATCCCCAATCACACGCGTGGTTTCCGCGGTGTATCGACGTTGTGGCGCTAGCCTTTGCCCTGGACGTGGTGCTTGCCGGGATTGCGAGCGGGCACCCAATAACAAGCCGAAAGCACCCAAGGGCACAGCCAGGGACGTCAGCTTCTTGTCGTAACTTTGGACTCGCTTTGCGGGCGTCCTGACTTCCCGCACAGTCGGCAAAGAGCTGACGCAACCGGCGGCAGCACCAATTTCCATGGCTCGCGTTTTTCCTTCACAAAGCAACCGATAGACACCCTTCTGGAGTCCGCATCGCTGCCTTTGGGTGGAAAAATGTTGCGTGACCGAATGAAGCCATGCCGTGGAGCGGCACATGCCGGCAGCCAGCATCAACTGATCTCAACACTAGGCGACCTAACCCTGCACGTGCGCTGATGCTTTTCTCGATTACGGTTGTCTGCTGCGCACGATGCTATGTGCGATGAGACCGGAGACCGCTGCAAAACCATTTGTTCTGCTGCCGGTCCGAACGAGAGAACTTAGGATGCGCCGCCGTTTTGACGGCACGAACCTATTTTGCCAAACCCGGTTGCCAGAAACCAGTGCAGTACTGCTCGGCCAAAGCCTGCGACATCAACTGGAGCCAGGTTGCGATTATGTCACATGGAACTGTCCACGTCCGTCCAGAGCCTGCCGCGCTGCGAATGAACTGTTGTGCCCCTCGTACGACACCTGAAGCATCCAGACAAGAAGTTCGGTTACACGGCTGTGCCGCATGCACAAAAGCACCATGGACTCCGCATCACAAATTTTTGTGCGAAGTCGACGAAAGCCCGACAGCGCTCTGCTCTGCGTGGCTGAAACCCCCGAAGCGTAGCAGGGGCGCGGTGATTGTGGCATGGGCTCGCGGAACACCTTTGTCCGCCCAGGATGCAGGTACCGCCACCTGGAGCTACAAGAGGCGCTGCAGTGAGAGCTGGGTGACGGGTGGATCGCTTTCTGCAATCAAAAAAAGCTGGGTCGATGCAACTTGGCAACTGAATGTCTCAGTTCCACTTGGGGTAGCCGATTTTCCCTGCCTGCTGCCCGTCCAGCCAGCACAGGACACGGCCTCAAGAAACACGCAGAAAGCTTTCCCAAAGAATTGCAATGGCCACACCGACAGCAACTAAGGAAGTAAATCAAGTCTGTCTGGCTGAACCCGTCTTTGCAGTGGGTCCTCGCTTCTTCCTTGGACACACAAGAGGTAAGTAACGCGCTCCCGGTCTCCGCGCTGGCAAGTTGCACCAGAAAGTTTACCTGTCGGTGCAAGAGGTCGCAGGCCATCCTTTCTCCGCAAACTGTAGCGCGCTTCGCACATCTCGCTGAGCTCTGCTCAATGCGGTGTTGTTCGTGGATGCTTAAGTCCACAGGCCTGAACATTGAGCCCAGTACACTGAAGCACGGTACAGTAGCTCATGGAAGACCTTGCTCGTGCCCGGCAACTGAACGCGCTGCTTAGGCTGTCGCATTCGCAGAATCTCCGGCTTGTACGGATTTAGGAGATGGAGGACCCCCAGCCTCGATGACGACGAAAGGATGCCCGCACCAGAGAATGGACAGCTTCGAAAGCGTCAGGGCCGCACCGTCGATAGAGTGCCAAGACATCTTGCTCCTGCCCACCAAGAGCCACTAACTGCCCAAACTCAACACCAATGACCATGGCAATGTGTGAACAGCTCATCTGTTGGAGCATCTCCAAGCCCGCAGACTGTGATTGGCCGAGAGTCATTGTCATTTCGGGTCGGTTCAGAGGCCGAAGCATTTCAAACTTCCCTGACACCGAAACTGTTCTAACAATGGTTGCATATTGTTTGGATCTTGAGGTTGCCCGTGACACTGCACGCGCGAGAACTGATGTAATTCGAGGCAGGTACAGGTCCAACAGTGTTCGCCTCTACACACACACACACACACACGCAAAACACTTAAATGACTATACACACATTCACTCGCGTAAATCATGATGCCCATCACCGCCGCTAATTCTTCATTTTGAAAGTATCGGCATGGCCGCAGTCTCGCCTAGTTAAGGGCACTGCAGGAAGCACTGAGGCTACATGCATGGGGGCATGGGGAAAGGCATGGGAAGCTGTTCAAATAAAGACCGTGACAACACGACAAACAGCGTTTGTCATGTCCACTGTCACCAGACGGAAACTCAAGATCTTGGCTGACACGAGGCTTCCGTACAAAACCCGCGGTCTTTGAAGACGATGAGAAAGTTGTAGTAAGCGGAAAGCCTTGAGCGAACCGACTACCGCTCATGCCGCTCTTCTTCAGCAGCATCCCGTCTGGGATGCTGGCGGATTCTGATCAATGGCCAAACCTCCCCGTCTGCCCCTCAGGAATGCTGCACAGCAAAAGCTATGCACTGCGCATGACATCTCAGGCTTTGGCCCAGCTGTTTTTTTCGAGCCGTGCCTCGGCTCTACATCACTCGCAGAGGCGTGCACGCGCCGGAAGCTTTGGCGGGCTCAAATGGCTCAGCCAACGGCGCACCCTGCAGGGCAGTGGCCACCTCCAGCCAGTCTCAAGCAAACCGACCGACCATCACTGGCTCGACTGAGGCATGAGCCGAGGTAGGGATCTGCCTTAGATCACGACTGCTACTTCCCGAGAGAAGACGCACGCAAAGATGCAAGCGGCAACTGCAATTCGTCAGTCGAAACAGAATGTGGCCAGATTCATACAAGCGACGCCTCCGCGCTCTTCATCTCCAGCTCGCCAGTCTTGAACATGCCTCCTCTGACCAACACAGAGGTCCCACGGTGACCCATGCCGATCTGCTGCACAACAACCCTTGGCGCATGAGGCGAGTTTACAAGACGTCTTTCAAACAAAAGTTTCTTCGCCACGTCTCAGAGCCCCGCGGTGAATAAACCACTTCGGGACCTAGCAGACCTGAGTCATGCAATGCCGAACCATGCGGGAACCCCACAATGCAGTTTCGTTCAGGCGAGCTGCGCTCTCGGTCCAGCACACGCGTGTGCAGAATACAAAAGGCTTCTTGTCGATCTGGCGACTCGTCTGTCCCACTGTTCACTGCATCTTGAGACCTTGCGAAGCTTGCACCGCAGGTCAGCGCAATTTGCCCTACGGCCTTGCTTCATTGTGACCGAGCACGCAACGAAGATTCTGGTGCAGATGGGAAGCACCTCGGCCGACTTCCCGGCAGCACAGCTCCACCATCGCTAAACACAAGCCCGGGACTGCAGCATCGGCTAGCATCGTCAGCACGTAAGTCCCGCACTGGACCAAGGCTCTACATTGGTTACTGGAGATGAACAGGTGCACCTGGGCTTTTCGGAGCTAGGCTCCCTGCAACCACCCTTTGGCGCAGCTTATGCCTTTATGCCGATCCAAGCCGAGCGTAGAATGAAAAGATCCGAGAAGAAACGAGACGTGACTTCTGCCGATCTGAGCGTCTGAGGCTGCTCTCAGGGCCTGCAGCCGCGACTGGCTGCTGAGGTCCTGCTTTTGGGCTTTTGCACCAACGAAGGGTGCAGGTGGCTGAAAATACTTGATTTACAGTCTCCTTGGTGACCTGAGACTGCGCCCAGCTCTCGTGACCCCTATTAACCCCAGTACCCTGGCACAGTAACACGAAATCATCTGCCCAAAGTGTCTGGTCTCCCCTAAGGCCCTAACAGCTGCAGCCTTCTGCCAAGATAGAATCCCCGATGTTATGCACAAAGGTGCGGCCAGGCAAAGGCCTTGTTCCTCAAGAGACGGGTAATCTCCTGAGAAGTCAACTGGCACCCGCTACGAGCTTTGATAAAATCCGGGAGTGTCAGACAGAGAGCAGCCAAGACTCCGAAACCTCGTTCATGGTTGTTGCATCTGGAGGAGGGCGTCTCGTAGATGAGTACTCAAAGCGAAACCAGCCAGACGACGGCAGCAACCAGTCCTGACACACAATTTGCGTCAACTCTGCCATCACTCCAACACTCCCTCTAAGAAGAAACGCCTGCCTTAGAGTACACGAAAGGCACATCATTATAGGCCTTCGGGGCGACGCTAACGCAGATGCAGAGCAGCCGGCTGAAGGCTCGATGCGGGTGCCTCATTGCGTATCATCTCAAAGTTTCCTGCTGCAGAAACTTCGCATCGCAACGGCAGTACGGCCGAGCCGGAAAAGGCACAGTCTTGAAACGATCGATGGCGATGTGCGAACGGGACATTCGGTTCACGGCTCCTGATTGTGAAAGGTCCGGACGACCAGCCTTCCAAGGACAGAAGCTATTCCAAGCTCTCGATGGCTTTAAAAGTCACAGCTTAGCAGCGCATCTCGCAGACTCGGATTCCCAGGCATTCACGAGAAGGCAGCATTCCTTGCCAGACCCCCCAGATTCGTCACAATCAAATTCTGGAGCGTGGTAGTGTCAGTATATGACGGGACGCTGCCAGGGCGTAGTCAACTGGGACAGACAAGTCCAGATTGTAACCTCCGCACCGTGTGGGAGAATTTCTTGTCGGAAAAATGTCGGCAGTGGCAGAGAATCGAAGCTCCTGCCACCAAGTGTCTGCCAGTGGGGTTGGTGTCCTGGAACCAAAGCAGGTGACGGACAGAGTCGCATACCTGATCCAGGTCTCGAGTCCGACGCGACGTGCGAGAGCAGAAGCTGCAGAAGCCTTTGTCATCTTCGCGGGCTCGGTGATCTGCTGCACGAGTGCCAACTGGAACCTCCGGCCTCTACCACAGGACAAAAGGGGCGAAGTCTATGACCGGTACAGGTTCATACGAATCTGCACAGCGCTGGTAGGGACAATGGAACTCCATCTTGCCGAGTTCCGGACTTCGCAGTGCTGGAAACAAGAAGCACACCTGAAGGAAAGCAGGGGGCATGAGCCACGAAACCAGAGCCTTCTGCACTTGATGCTCCCGATCTGTGGCTTGCGGGTCGAGGTGAGCATGCTGACACATGTTGCACGGAGCCGGACCGATGCAGGCCGAGGCTTACCATATCCTTTCCTGACCATAATGGCAATCAAGGCACGAGTTGTACCGCCATTTCCTCGGAAGCCGATGTGCGCACATCTTTTAAGCATGGCCATGGCCATGTCCGCGGTACTCTCAGCAGGTTCCGGAGCTGTCCCCGGACGCTCCAAGCCCGGGACAGCGCTTGTCTCTGTCAAGACTTTGACCTCCCGAAGGCTGCGGCGAGACTTCCTTTTTTCACATCCGTTCCGTTGCATCCGTGGCCGCCCTGCCTGCGCCTCGGTAAACCAAAGCTCCTTCCCCAAGGCCCTTGCGAAGCGGAGGCGTTCCTGGCAAAGTCCCCGGCTCCCTGCCGCTGTCACGGGCGATTGGAGCTCCTCATCCGTCACCATCACCGCAAGGGCTTGCTTGAAGAGGTTGAAGGCAGGGGCCCTGACCTCCCGAACACGTTCATAGAGTAGAATTAACCCTCCCCTGCCCATGCCCCGTGTAGCATCACTCCATGCACCGGGACATGCTGACGGCTCGACGTAGGCACACGCAGGCACTTGCTGCTGTGTCAACTCGTCAAACACACACCGCATCGATAGCAGCAGGGTCCGGGTTTTACATTACTGGAGTGCTTGAACTGCTATGGCAGCCCGTTATGGTTTTGGTCGGTGATTTGAAGAAGCACTGCCAGGCTGGAACCAGCACATCGGACTTCGGACGCCCTGAGCTCCCCTTCCAAGCCTTAGCACGGCAGTCCTGGCACCATTCAGGCAGAAAAAACTCGTCTCCGACTCTGCACAAACCGCAGAGCTTGAAGCTTTTCGGTCCTGGATCAGGTCGTGCACCTCCATCCAATCTCCCTCCGGTGTGCCTGCCCAGGCATGCCCAGGCCCAGGCCCCGGAAAGTCTCAGAAAAGAGGGATCTCTCTCGGCGCCTGGGAGCCCTGGAGCAAGGACCACTCGCTGCTTCTCCTTCTCCACTTGACCTTGGGCCCCTGCAACAGGCACAGCGCTGCGTCTTGCCAGGTGGATCCCTTCGGAAAAGCCTTCCGTGACGTTGGCGACGGAGCCGTGGTGCCCGGTGCCATGAGACATCGGCGGCACCTGGTAGCCAGGCTGCAGCACCATTGGCTTTTGATGCGTGCCCCCATCTCCATCCTGAGATCCAGCCTGGGGGACTGACAGCGCCTGAGCTCCCGCGGTGCAAACGAAAACTCGCTCTCATGGCTCTCGAAACTGGGCTTTCGACATCGTCGCCTTGTCCAGGCGAGACGAGAAACACAAAAGTAAGGGTTGGGGGAGCTCCATGCAGGCGCAAGCCTGAAGCATCGAGTTTTGCTCGACCGACCTGGAGGGGCAAAATAGGGCAAATCGGCTGATGGCTGATGGCAAGGCTGGGGACCCGCACCTGGGATCGGCCCCGAGGGCTCGACGGGGGAGGCGGCGCCTGATACTCTCAAACCGGAGATTGGGCCTGAGCCTCTGCCATGGAGCTATGCGCCTGTTCGATCTCGGGCTTATGCCTCAGAGAGGTGTCACAGCTGGGCCTGCTATCGCCTGCTCTGCGGTGCTCTGCTGGGAGTGCGGACACGTCTTCCGCTGCCCTCGGTTCAGCTGCCAGACTCATGGCCAATCTGCTGCAACAGGTCCCATGTAAGGAGTTCAGATCGACTCGGCAACCAAGCAACCATGCATCGAATCTGAATGGACGGGCAGCGAAAGAGGGAGGGAAAGAGACAGAGAGAGAGAGAGAGAGAAAAAAAACAAAGTGTGGTGATACATGTCTCGCGAGGGCTGGTGCGATCCTGAACGTAACAGGGGGGAGCGGTCCAAACACCAATCCGGAAAGACAGAGAAACTGAAGAAGGTCGTCGCCCTGGTTTTTTGTTTCGCCCTCTTGCGTGCCAGGCTGAGCGTGCGGGTGAGCAGACTCCACTCGGCCTCCCTTTGCAGAACATGTAATCACCTGCGCAGGACTACACCCACTCCGGCATAACTTTAACAAAATGTGAAAAGAGCACTGATCTCTCAACTGCCCGCTGCCACCCCTGTGTGGAGTCAACAGGGAGCACGCCAACGAAGAACGACGAAACAGAGGCCACTCGAAGCACAGAGGAAGCGGAAACAGAATTGCAGCAACTTTATTGGCAGCTGAGCTTCTCCTTCAACTGCATGTAGCTGGCTTCAGAAAGGGGCGGTGCATACGTGACCTGAGAAAGAGAAACTGCGAAAAAAAGCAGTGCCAAAGCGTCGGTCGAGGCTCCGACGTTCCACGAGCCCACAGTGGGGACCAGCCAACACCCCTTCGCGTCCTTCTCCACTGAGGGCCTATCACAAAGCGGAGCTGCATTTGCACCCTGCGCTGACGGCCCTACCCTGAAGTCGGATGCCTGCCCGTTTTCGGGTCGAACCTACAGAACACCACAGGTTCAGGGCTTTGGGAAACGCAGGCCCTGTCGTGACAGCTCGGGCCCCGCACTTCAAGAAGCCTTAGATGACAAGCGATCTTCGGAATCTGTCTCGGCGGATGGAGATGCGGCTGCAGTCAGGCGACGATGGGGCATCTCGGAAGAGTGGGAGTCTGCCTTGCCGTGAGCTTGCTTGGAAGATCTTGGAGGAATCTGGCTTGCAAGGAGGCACTTCAACAACAGCAAGAGGCGAGTGGCGTGGCACAACAGCATCCGCAGAATCGCACGGTCTGTTGGCAGGCTGAGATTGAGCCTCGCAACGTGACTCCACTGGTTGGCTCTCTGATCCCACGTCCAGATGGCCACGAACCCCAGTTTGTCGGGTTCTCTCTCCGTCTCGGATCGTGCTGTTAACACTCTTATGCACAAGATTGCACCATCTGATGAGCCATGCCTGTAATTTCCGGATGGTTGGGCGTGTCGATACTTGACCTGGGCACAACGGTCTGAATGGCCCGTTCAACAGTCTTCATATCAGCGTTATTTGGCACTTGCTCTCTAGTGCTTCGAGCGACAGCTGGGCATCTGATGTCCGACTCTCGATGGCCACTGATGTCCGCACCTGACTTGTGTAACGGGTGTGTGCTGGTAGGGAGACCACCACCATCACCACCCTTTGTTGCAGTTCAAACTTCAACGACGGAAAGCCACTCAAGCCCTGGAATCCCTGGAGCGTTGCCGTGAGACCTTGCAAGTGCTGGTCCATCTCCGTAATGAGCCGCAGCACATATCTCAGTCCTGTCCAGGCATCGGCTTGTTGAACAGATCTTGAAACGTACAGGGTATGGTCTGCGAGCGTGCTGCCGAGTCGCCTTGCTCGCCCAATGGATTGTCACAAAGACGCAACTGCTTCAACTTCTGATGACGGCGCAAGGCCTAACAAAGCGAGCCTAAGACATCCAGAGACTCGAAAACAGCCTCCGCAGAGCGCCTCCTGCAATACCCAGGCAGAGTCGGCACCTCGCATCCATGGGTGTTGTATGCCGTCAGAACCTTATCAGGCCGGGGTGGGAGCCCATGCTGCAGCTCGAGAGGTCCAGCTCCTCCAAGGTGCTGTTTGCCTCCACGCAGGCTCGAAAGGAAAAGGACCGAGAGCCAAGAAAACTCGTGCCTGGAGCCCCTCCAAGAACAGCTGCAGTGGGTTGTGCCTCGACGTCACATGCAGGCACCACAGCAGTCCCCGTTCTTGCCCAAAGGGGGGCCGACCCGGCGGCCAAGGCGATCTGCCCAATGGCCGGGGCCGGCTCTCTCGGCTCCCTCTCCTCGGCGACCCGTCGGAGAAAAAAGAAAAAACGAAATCAAAGAGCTCATGGGCTCTGTGAAAGCTTGGGGGTGCTGTACGCATTGCCCGCAATTTGGCTTCTTGGACGACCGACTGTGCTTTTTCGCTGCACGCCCCGCAACTAAAGGCTTTGCGACAGTTTGGGCGCCTGTTTTCAACATCCGAAAAGACCTAAGGACCAGGTATCACGAAACCTCAGGAAGCTCTCGAAAGAGCAATGAGGGCTCGCACTTTGTCCACCTCTCTGTCTGGAGATCGCTGCCTGACGGCTTAGACATTTGGTAGCTCAAAGACAACGGCCTGTCGAGTCCTGGCCTGAGAAGGAGGAGGGCGGACCATTCCGCAGCGCTCATGTCACTGGAGGGTGGGTTGCTGTTCCCGGCGAACGCGAGGCTCCGGATCCTGAACCCGTAACACAGCAACTATCAAGAGTGATGCAAAGAATGCATCGCAGGCCGTCCGACCTGGAGTGCCCCACAGCCATCGCTGCAGCAGCAAAGCCCGCACCACCGAAGAAGTTCCCAGAGAAGTCGGCACCTGAGCCGGGAGCCCAGGGCCCAGGGGTTCAGAGCTGCAAAGGCCAAAGTTGCCCTTTTGCCACTGCGGGCTGGGCGTTCGAGGCCCTGGAAGCCTGCCTGTCAATCAGAGTCCGTTTCAACTGCACGAACTGCACTCAAAGCCTAGCTCATTCCTGCACATGAATGCATGCGGACACCAGGACATGCCGGGGCAAGAAGCAAGAACAGCGTGAAGCGCAAACTTAGAAGGGGTTTTTGCCGACGCTGAGACCCAAATTTCTCGCGAATCCCAGAAACCTTCGCAACTGCTTCAACCAAAACAATGCCAGGTGCTCGCCCACCCATGAGGTGCCTCTTTGGGCTGCGAGCAGTCACCAAGAAGAGATGCAAGCGCGACACAATCCTCAGACTGTCTCTGGGATGCACGGCCTCACGGGAAGGGCTCTGCCTGAGCCCACGACAGCCTGCCCGCACAGGCCCAAGCCGCAGCCCGCCAGGCTCAGGTCTGAAGTTCGAGGAAAGTGAAAACAAGAACAGCCCCCATAGGCTGCTAGGGCCCTTGGGGCCCCGAACTCCGGAGCACGGCACAGGATGTGGCCAGCGAGCGTGCGAGGCCTGAGTGTCACTCAGAGTCCATCAATCTCCCGTCAACTCTGATCTGCAGGCGCCCTGCTCACTGCAACTCTGCCGTTGAACGGCACGAACGAGATGTCCAAGGCAGTCAAAGCAGTCCTTTGGAGTATGTCGCTCGCGACGCATGGCTTCTCTAATGAGGCACCGAGAAACTGGCAGAGATGCAATGGATGTAGGCAGCGACCTTCATCTCTCAATCTCACCCTTACTCTCACTCTCTTTCCCTGAATTGGAGCACAGGCAGCTGACAGCAACTCCAAAGCAAAGATGCACCAGACCAAGCTGCCGACTGAACAAGGCCAGGCTCTCGGAAGTGGAGCATGGTGTTGGATGCCTTGCAAGGAGACTACGGTGACTACGGCCAGTGTTGCGACCTGAGAAAAACACGGCCGAGAAGCCACGTTGAGAGACTCCAGCTGCAGGGTTCCATCTGCTTCCTCGCCAAATAAAACGAACACACTACGAACGCCCCTTCACACCTAAACTGGGATGCTAGCAGCCTCGAGCTCGCAAGACTCAGAACTCTGCCATCTCGTGCGGCCTTTCCGCCAAATGCCACACGAAAGCTCCAGGGGCACTAATCCGAAGGCCGAGATGGAGCCGCATAGGGCCTTGACCCTCCCTCCCCACATGCGATCGGAACTGCTGCAGCAGCGCCAGCACCTTCTCGGAATAGGTGCAGACATTGCGATCGGCCATGCAGGACCCAGCCTCTTGGAACCCTGCATCTGTCATCTTATTGCCACCTCAGCCAGCGCAAGCTACCGGTACCATCCCCTACCTGCCAGACACGGCCAGAACTATGCAAAGAATGCCTCTCGACCTGTTCGTGCACGACTGTAACCCCGAGCAGGATAAGGGATTGGTCAAGTAGAATGCTAAGGCACTGGCTCAGGTTTAATTCGCGCAGTGGGTGCCCCTGTGCTGCACCTCGCACTGTCGCATTGCGCCAAACTCTGGCAGTTCTTGCTGTGCAGAACAGCTGGGGGCAGAAACAAATCACAGCAGTGCGAACCTGCGATCCATCCAGTACACGGTTCAAGCCGTCACAAAGCCCCTAAGCAACTGAGCTTCCTGCCAGCGCGTGGAGATCTGCATCGTATAAGGAACGACCAGATGCATCGATGATTCCCCAGCCGTTGCCGAAATGCAACCAAGCCTGCGTCCACGGATTCAGTCTTGGACATCTGGGCTCGCGGAACGTTTGAAAACTCGATGCATGATGGCGATCTACGCAGCTTTTTGGTCTGCTCCTGAAAGCTGCCACCTCGGGTGGGCAAGCATCCTCCTGCTTATGTCCTGCTTGCAGCAGTCCAGCCGAACATCACACTGCACAAAGTTCATGCTGCTCTCGTGATGCAGTGGATGACTGCGCGTGTCTCGGTGTTCAATTTCCAAGCTCAAACTAGGACTTTTGGGAGCACAACTTTTAGCAATTCGACTGCGAAGCAGGCAGCACGGTGAACCTACTACTCAGCAGCAGTTGCCGTGGTGCTCCAGTCGGCTCAGGTCCCAGCGTTTCCTCTGCATGACCCCGCCCCTGAATTGCACAGAGCTGCAAGCCAGCCGTCTGAACAGCTGCGGGCATTTGCTTGCAGCCGTTGTGCCTTGCATGCACTCGCAGGTTGGACCTTTTTCGGCCCCGTGAAACATCATCGACTCCTACGTCCTGCTTGGCTTACACGTGCGTGGAGACCAAAGACAAGTCATCTTCACCCTCCACGTACAACTCGTCCTCAGTCAAGCTAGTTCAAAGTCGCCACACTAACAGCACTTGTTATCTCAACTTGTCTCGGTGCTGGGGCCAAGCATCAGTTTTCCAATTGTGCAAGTGAATAGCAGTTCCTTCGCCACTCTTGTCGAAGCGTGAATGGACGATCTGAGAGGAATTTCAGTCAAACGACATATGCACGGCATCTGATGAGGTTCAACGAGATATGTGACAGAGAGCTAGGTCCAAGACTGTCCAGAGTCGTTCGTACAAGTTGACTTCCTGTGTGATCTCTTCCCTCAGTGCGAAGCCAGGAACAGGTGTACGAGATTTCACCGACTGGTCCCAAACATTCGTGCGAGCTGCTCGATATCATTTTGCTGCATGGCGGCAGCTGAAAGTGTTTCGGCCTGGCAAGGACGGACATAAAGCAACGCCCTCCCTGCCCCCTCGCGAATCGCGCCTGCACGCCCTGACAATAGTACCTGACTTCCTTGACGATCGTATGCATGTCGCTTCTTACCTTTTCCCAACAAGCAGGGAGCGTCAAAGGTGCAAACCGAGCCCGTCGGCAGCGGTGCGAGGGCCCGGCGCGAAGACCCAGCCGCGCATTGTCAACCTAGCTCGCGAGTCCCTTTCCGAAACCAACAGGCCCAGCTTGGGAACACCGAAGCTTCTTAAGAGAGCGGCCGGGCTAGAGTTGGACCACATCGACTCCACGCCGGTGCGGCGAAGATATGACCAGCCGGCCTCGTATGATGAGGCGCCCATGGGTTCGTCTCTTGTCTCGGATCCCTGAAGAGGGCCTCTGCAATGTCCCCAATGGCGATGACGTCATTCTCCTAAGCTTTGCCCACAACACACTAGCTGAGCTTATGTCAGGCCTTGATACAGACAAGCTTCAGCTGCCTTGACGCGCCCGCCTCGGCGGCGAGAAGAGTGGCACGAAAAGAGGGGATGACCGACACTGCCCATGTCGCATCTCGGCCGGGCACAGACGAACTCCATCACTTCGACGACATGCTGAGAGCCCAGTTTGTTGGTCAAGAACAATGTGCCTGAGCTGCGTATATGCATCGGGCAATCTCGCGGGGCATCTTGCTGGATGCAGCTGGAAAGCCGCCAAGCCCAGAGAATGTCATCAACGTCCTGGCAGCATTGGAGGACATGCTGCCGATGCGGGGGCGGATGCATTTTAGATCGGCTTCGACAACTCTCAACTCATGCAGCACTTGCAGGGCATTTCACTGGATTCGTGCATCCTGCGCTGCAAGGACAGGGGTCCCCCCATCAACTCTCTGAGGTATTCGCCACTGAACTTCTCCATTCAACTGCATCTCCAGACGACGACCAAAAAGCCAGCATCAAAAGCTTTTCTTTAGATTTGCTTTCTCGGTTCGACTTTCTTGGTAATCTCTGAGCTTGGGGCTGGAGTACCATGGCACATTCCTGAACTGCAGAAGTCAAGCACCAAACTTGGAGCACCAGAAAGCCGCAAAGCAACAAAGCTTTCGCTGCCTCTCAGATCATGCAGACAGGCGTCTGTCAGACACTTCATCTCTGTAAAGAGCGTTACGCTCCTTTGAACCATCACTCTGAAGTTACGATCCTGCCACAGGACTTGGTCGCGCAAGACCTACCAGTGGATTCGATTCACACGCCCTGGCGATGCCATCTCTAGTTGTAGTTTCAGTCCACGCTGTGAGATGCCCTCACCAAAGAGACACCACACTCAAGGACTCCTCCAGTCCGAACGCTTCCTCACATCGTGCAGCCCACTTCAGGATCCCTCTCCGTGACACTCCGCTCTCTTCCGCTGGTGCTGCTTAAAGACCACTTCGTGCCAGCGAGTTGCAGACTTCAGTCCCCACAACACATCGTCAGAGAGCTTCTTCTCGTCTGGGCTCAGGACATCTTCATTCCACGGAGCCTGAAGTTGCACTGCAACTGGAGAAACCATCGTCTCCACTTCTAGAAACCCACTTCCCCCCAGCCGAGTGGCAAAAGGGCTCACGGCCGGCTTCCTGATAAGGTGCGAGATGTTCGCCTGACCAGACAAAACGGGCACAAAGGCACGGGCCGGCACGGGAGTTCAAAAAAGGAGGCCGCAAGAAGCGAGGCCCGGCTAGGCTACCAAGGGGACAGGAGTTCAGCTGCCTCGATTTCGCTCACTTTGTCGTCCTTGGCCGTGGAAAGACAAGTGACCCCCGTGTGAAGTTACGCGCTACCGGTACTCGAGTAGCTCCAACTCTGCAGCCAGTCTCGTTGAAGAAGCGAGCAAGATATCCAACGGGAAATGTCGGATCCTTAGATTTCCACGGCTGGACTTATCATCAGACAGAAGCTTGTGTCTCAGCCGCATCGTCACTTCCTTGAGATGATAATGGCCCAAACAAGCAACAGCACATCAGGAAGCGCAGCCCTAAGATGTGCCTTCAAGACTTCACTCACAACACGATCAGCAGCAAGAACCCCATTTCACATGCGGTGGGCAACCTGCAAAGACTTGAAAGGCTAACCATGCCACTCCCCAAAGTGTTGGGGCGGGTAGCCCAAAGGCTCACATCGTCGGCCCACGCTCCAATCTGACAAGCTTTGGGTGTTAACTGTTCATTCTCCTGTTGCCTGTAGCACTCGCTAAATTCGTCGTTCGCTTCCTTGTCGGTCAACGGTGCCTGTTGCTTCTAGACCCAATTTTCTAAACCGAATCAATCAACCCCAAACCCGAACCCTGCAGACTGAAGAGTGATGTTGACTTAATTGCAAAACTCGACCCCTAGAACTCAATTAAAACCTTCCCTCAATGACGAAACCTATTTTTGGTGGCTTTTTCGTTTTGGTTTGTAGTATCGATTGTTCAGAGCTTTGATTCAATCAGAGGCAGGACGGAGCAGAGAGAAACTGCAATTACTGCGACTGCTGCAGTATTGCAACGAGAGGAAAAGCACTTCAGAGCCGTGATTCGGTCAAAGGCATGACGGAGCAAAGGGAAACTGCAGCTTTAGTGCATGCCTTCCTTCATAAAACTCCTTCTTCCGGGAGCAAAAATCCATCCTTCCAGATGGAGTACTAACAAGCCGGCGAAACTAGAAGCCCCCTCAACGATAAGGCTTGTGGTGGTGCTTCCAGCAGCCAGGAAGAGGATAGCAAGATTTTAAAGAGGTGTGCTACTGTACTGCTGTACTGCTGCACTGCTGTACCACTGTGCTGCTGAACTACTGTGCTCCTGTACTACCGTACCATTTTTTACTACTGCACTACTATACCACTGTACCGCTGCACTACTGTACTACTGTACTGCTATACTACCGTGCTACCGGACTGCTGTACTACCGAACTTGGGTACTAATATACTAGTGTACTAGTAGACTAGTGTACCGCCGTACTGCTGTGCGGCTGTACTACCCTACTGCTGTACTAATTACTATACTACGGTACTTCTGTACTGCTGTACGATTGTGCTACAGTACTACAGCACTACTGCTCTCCTGTACTACTGTGCTGCTGTACTACTGTGTTACTGTCCTGCTATGCCACTGTACCACTGCACGACTGTACAACTGTACTGCTGCACGACTGCACTACAGTACTATTGTACTGCTGTAGTACTAAACCTGCTGTACTGCTGTGCTACGGTACTGCTTTCCTGCTGTACTACAGTAACTACTGTACTGCTATACTACAGTACCACTGTACTGTTGCACCACTGTACTACTGCACTACTGTACTGTTGTACTGCTGTGCTACTGTACCACTGCATTGCTGTACTGCTGTACTTATGCACCGCTGTACTGCTGTGCTGCTGAATTAGTGTGCCCTGTAATACTGTACTACTGTTCAGCTATACTACTGTGCTACTATACTACTGTGTTACTGTACTGATGTACTATCGCTCTAGTGTACTAATGCACTAAGAAAAGGAAGCGTGCAATACGTACGACTATACGAGTATACAATTGTACTGCTGCACCACTGTATAACTGCACTAGTGCACTACTGCACCACTGCACTGTACTATTGCACCACTGAACCACCGTACTACTGTACTGTTGTATTACCGTACTGCGGTGCTACTGTACTATTGTACCACTGTACTACTGCACTACTCCACCCAAACCCGCAAAAATCTAATTGTTTAGCCCAAACCCCGCAAACCTGGCCCCCAAATCGGCCATTCTAAGATCTAGAAGTTTGGCGTTGCGAGGTCCCCGCGTTTGCCCGATATAGGGCCATGCTGCAGAGCCCACATTGCGCTTGTGCGTACTTCTTTGTGGACCGACTGCTAGATGCACTCACACACACACACACACACCCACGACTCCCATAATCTGCCTAAACCCTCCCCAATAACCGCAAACCTAAAGCCCCAGACTAGAAATTCTAAGCCACAATCCCCAAACTCCCCAACAAACGAAAACTCACCCTAAGCCCTAAAGGTGTAGGCCCCC